TTATCAGTCCGGAAGCGAAATATTTCAGGCTTATTATAGCAAAAGTGACGATAAAGCGTACACGGCACGGGAAAAGTGGTTCAAAACAGTTAAAGGGCATGACCTTATACATTACATGGGTAAATGTATTGAGTTTGATCATCAGTAGGATCAGTTTCATGCCCTGCATGCGAATTATCAAGGAGGCGTTGTGAACATTYTTAGTCATTTTCATGCCCGACATGACATATATTGTCATCTTACTTACCCGGGAAAGATCCAGTGCATTCTATTCTTTCATCACTTTTAAAGTGACAACCAGGGTGATTTAATAAGATCCCACAACTGACGTCGACGCCTTGTGACTTTACCGTTGACATCATGGCAAATTGTTTGTTACCCCACTTACAAACTATTTGATAAAAATATACAGTATAAAACCTGAACCAAGTCAAGTTTTTAAAATTTTTTTACTTAAAAATTACTTTAACTTTATTATTCTCTCGATTAAATAAATGGGAAAAAACAATGTAATATAAAAATTAGGTAACACCTTATAGCGGAGCTGCAATAGCATCCTGAAGACAATTTTTATCTAGTACTACTATTTTAAAGAGTAAAGCTCAGTAGAGGTACGCTGTTTCAGGGAATCTAAACACAACACCTTTTATTGTCATTCGAAAAAACTTATTATATTTAGCTCGAAAAGTTTATACAAAAGGAGGATTACTGTAGCTTCCACGGCGGCTTTTAACACAATTTCCTTTATTGAGGCAGAGTATAACACTTACGAACCTTACGACTTTCGATGCATACATTTCACTAGGAAACATAGAGATATAACTAACAAATGCCTTACAATAAGTCGAAATAAGGTAAAAACTCTGTGGCCCTCGTGGCCGCCGTCAAGAAGACGTTCACGCGCATGCTCGCCACGGACCACAGGGAACCCGCCGTTACAATTACGTTAGGAGAATTAAGTACTCTGAATCTAATGACTTTGATGGTTTTTGTGCAGTTGGACTAGCTAGCTTGAATGATAGTTATTTTAGAACCCCTTCAACCATTACCAGAACATTTTTTCATTGCTTCCAAGCATCCAGTGAATGGTGCAGAGCCTATAATTGGACCATTCTTTCTTCATTTTGAAGGGATAAGGGTTATGATATTTGATATGCAGTTGATAAGGACATTTAATGCATCTATTGCTCACTTTATACATTTGATATACTTTGTTTGTCTTTGTTGTTGTGGCTATTGAGAACCAAATAAAACACTTTTTTATCTGTTTATTCTGTGAATAAATTATTTTTATCATTAACTGCCTATCAAATATCCTAATAATTATCCCTTCAAAATGAAGAAACAATGGTCTAATTATAGGCTGCTGGGACAATGATAAATTGTTGTGGTAATGGTTGAAGGGGGACGGTCTGATRCAGAAAGGGTTAGAAAATTTCACTTCCACAACTCTGGTATGTCAGTATTTTTCAAAAATTTGACTGCCTGACGTTGAGTTCTTGGACTAAACGTCAGGCAGTCGCAAAATGTCAAAGTGCCGCTGCCTGTGTATACAAACTTAATTGACGAACAGTATCATTTCAGTCTTTATTGCATTTCTCTTGCTGTATCAATTGAAACTAGACGATCATGGATCAATGTGACAATGGTGTTTCATTTTAACAAGATAGTCTTTGTTTGTAATAAGTCAAGACAGAATTAAGTTAATATTTTATCAATTTATTACATCATAATWTTTTACCGAACTGAACTCTAAGTAAATTCTTTGGATACCATGTATTTTTTCTCAGTTTTCAAAAATAACTAGCTCGACTTTACGCTCAAGAGCGTCTATATTATTCAAAATATCTGCTAGGTCATATAGGTCACATAAACAATAGAAACGGTACAGTCTTGGCAGTATAACTT